TTGTTTAACATGGCCTGCATGAATAAAACAGTTAAGTCACTACAATATTTCTTAAGATTCACCGTTACCAGAAAACAAAAATAAAATTTAAAGTATTCCTAATGGTAAAACTATCCAATGCAATATTAAATTTACTCGGACCGTCGATAACTTAATAGATTAGTCACAGACCATTAACGTTGTACTTAATCTCTATGGATAACATGGAAAATGGAGCATGAGAGAACGAAACAGGTCAGACCATATAAAAATACTTTATAATGTCATACATGTCTGTCTTTTACATGCCTTATTGTTTAACGATTTTGTCAACTATTAGATAGGCATTGGAAGAAAATTACGATGTAGTAGAAAATCGAAATCTGTATATCAATACGTGAAGCAAAAACATTGTACCCATTTTTACGAAAATTACCTGGACGTGTCTAAAATTTCACACACTTATAGTTTATATAGAGATGGAGTGCAGTTTTCAGCAATGCTAATATTGTTTTAAAGTTTTGCATAATAAATACATTAAATTAATGAAAAAACATTACACACACTACCGCGTATAATTAATTATGGTCGAATTTCGACCAATAGGCGACCACTAGTATATATAAAATATATAAAATGTTTTATAATAAACTGCTGCGTAGTAAATTGCCAGAGGTCAACGACCGGCACGTAGGCATTACGCAAGTCTCGATTGTTTTGAAAAAATCTATGGACCGGGTCGTAAAAGGCGCCAATCCGCGAGATACGCAAATCTAGTCCGTAACGCGCATTCATAAGGAATATAATTTTATAGGCAGTTGTACCGACGGCATTGTGCAGGCGGATGGCGGTCCAGTCAGCGAATGTCTCGTATGGCGGTTAACCTGATGTTAAGTGCTAACCGCCGCCCATGGACATTTAGAACACCTGCCGATTCGTGCAACAGCGAAGTCTATTGCGTAGCCGGTAGCCCTACCACAGCAATCGACCCGGTGGATGAGAACGTTAGTTAAATGAGATGGACACACATGGATTATCCTCGCCTACGAGTACGACGAATCACACTCACACACACACACAAGATCCAGAGCGGTTCTCACTGCCCTTGGCCAACGGTATGCAACCATCATTTGCGTTACACTCCTTACACTATACACTACTGAACATTCCATAGACGACACGCATGAGCACATTCATAGTCTATGGCAAAAAATAACCTACGGAGTTTCTTTCACCTGTTTCTTCCTCGTTAGAGGAACCTCATTACGAAACGGTGGTAGATTTAAAATGACTATCGATAAATGAAATGTATATTTCTTATTTCGATGAATAAATGATTTGAATTTGAATTTGAATATGAATATGGACTGAAAGCAAAAACAGGAGTCAAAGTAAAGTACAGGTACATTTATAAACGTACATTTAAGAATGCAGCTCTTTTCCGGGATCCGTCCCTTCGAATCTTACCAGCGATAATAAATCAAGTTAATATATTTTTTTACCAGATTGAATTAAACATTTCAGCCAAGTGTTGAAATTCTTGATCCATTCTGGGATTAGGCTATAATTTATATTATTTTCTCACCGATATTTGATAGGTGTTCAAAGTACTGACTTCACAAGTCAACAATTAAAAATATCTCGACTGTGATCAGAAAAAAACTTGTAGATATATATTTTGGCGCCAAAAAATCCACCAGTTTTATTACCTAATAAAGACTATTTTTGTATACCATGACATACAAGTAACACCGTGAAATATACAAGCACTTTTTATAGAAAAAAAAAACAGAGAGTTTTTTGTATGTATTTTTATGTTTAAAACTTATAAATACACACAAAAAACTCTCTGCCTTATCTAAATTACATACGCAAACTTTAAAAGTACAGAGCTCGTTTAGTTTGAAATAAAAGGTAAAAAATCGTCAACTAATATGTTTATGGTATTAACATCACTGAATACACAGACAGATAAATGCTTTTACCATAGCAATTGCTATTACATGCCGTATTGGTTACGATCCCCACACGAAACAAAAATTGTGTTTCCCATGTACTTACTTTATGTTCGTTATTTTATAAAAAATATTTTTGTATTTCGCCAATCGCCTCCGCTTATGCACGCAAACCGCACCCAATGACAACAAAAAACCTCCGCTAACATAAAAGACTCGTGAAACATTTGAATTACACACGTCACAGCATAATGTAACTCCATTAGATTTAATTTGGCACGGTATCGATTTAGTTTTTGGTACGCGTCGTGTGAATTACGTTTGACCATACGTATTAAGTTGTCACTGCTCTCAATTAGTCTTCTCTATCGTTTCCTTTGTCGTTTTGCTGGAGTAGTGCGATGCTACCGTGTTCGGACATGCTAGGGCGCTGCTAGCCTATTGTCCCGTCACTAGTATTTTAGCCAGTATGCTGTAACAACCTGAATTTAAATAACAAACCGATGAAATAGGTAACCGCAATTTTAAACGCTAATTTAGCGCGTACGCCGGTGAATGAAAACATCGTAAGGAAACTTACGCATTGAGTAAATAACAAACATCTAAATGTTTATAATTAAATGCCCTTCCCACAGCACAGAGTAACTATTTGTCCATCCGCATGAATACAGATTTCAAGTAAACACGCGAGTTTGTACAACTTATATTTGTTAACCTACGTAGGATGTATCCTATCATAATTATCAAAGAGTGCTTTTATATATCTGATAGTTATTATTTACTAATATTCGCAGTGTCACCGTAATTCTTTTTTTATGTGAAAAAGTGGCAAACGAGCTGGCGGTTCACCTATGTGATAACCGCCGCCCACGGACATTTTCAACACAGATTGCAGATGTGTTGCCACCTTTTAATAATGTGGGCCCTGGCTACTCACTCACCAAACGAAACTCAGACAGAAAAGAAAAGTGTAACACTTTTGCTTTACGCCAGTCTTCTGGGAGGTCGTGGTACTACTCCGGACGGACCTGCCCATTCGTGCAACAGCGAATATTGTTGCGTAGTCCTAACACAGTTAAAATTAATTCGTTAAATTTTGACATTTTTTCGAACAAATCATTAAGTCACTTTGACATTTTCTCTGACAAAATATTTAGGCGGCAATCGCTACTCTTCTCTCAAGAGCCGTGATGGCTGAGTGTCCGGGCGCTAGCCTTTAATTCAATATACTCGAGCAACCTGAGCTCGATCCGGTGCCGGCACCAATGAAGTTTTTAACTTTAAGTGCTGACTTATCACGTACTCCGCGGTGAAGGAAAACATCGTGAGGAAACCTGCATATTTACGAAATAATAACAAAAAAATATTTTTCAAAGATATGTAAGTCCGCCAATCCGCAGTGGGGCCGCGTGGTGGACTATGCCCTGATAACCTCTGTAACGAGGAGGCCTTTACCCAGCAGTGGGACATGTATAGGCTGTTACTTTTTTTACTTTTTTCCGCTACTCTTAATGGCTTTGACTTGGCAGACTTATGTTAAGAGTGTTTCCCTTGTGCATAAACCTTTTCACATAAAAACACAAAATGCTGTGCGACCCCTAACAGAACAGACACGTATTCGTATCTTCACTAGTCATAATAAGAGACCCTTCGACCAATCCTTAAGGCCGAAAGCGAATGCGATCCGTTAGAGGCGATCACGTCGTCTTGGTGCTTCATACTTTCAACGTTGACCGTTTAACCGTCAAGCGTGACGGCACTCGACCGCAGCTCTGATTGGGTGGCGGTGCATACATCGTGGGAAGGTGTCGCGATGGTGCCGTGGACGAATACTTATCAGGGATTCTCAGTGTAGAGTAGAACCGGTACTAACCCCACGACGGCGTATTCGCACTTATTTCCCGCTACCGGGAGAATTTTGCGTTTTATATATTTATTTATTTAATCGACAGGAAAACCAGCAGCAAATAATAAAATAGTACAAATAAAAAAAGATAATAACAGAAAACCAATGACAGGTCTTCGCGAATAAATGGGTGATAACAAAAACATAATGTGTATAAAAAAAAATATTTTTATAAAATTACAATACCAAGTCGTGAATTCCCAGAAAAAATTTGATCAAATGCAAATATCTAATATATTGACTTACAGAAGTAAAGTGTGTTTGTTTTATTTACTAAATAAAGTGATTCAAGAGGAAGGATTATATGTATAATACATTGCACCCGTGCGAAGCTGGGGCGGGTCGCTAGTAAATAATAAAAGTAATGTATTATACACATACTATTAACGACAGATTGTGCAGAGAAATCTGCATATGTTTATAAACACATGCTTTACAAATGCAATGCTTTACAAATCTGACCGGAATATTCTTTTAAACCCTATAAATACGCGCTATTATTTAAAACGTTTTGTTATCTGAATATTTATTGCACATAGCTAGCAAAACAGATGCTTATAGGGTCATTTATTCATGTCACTTCACCTTATATATTTGTATCTACACTTTGCTTGTCACCAAGCGACAAGCATAGATTCATTCACCAAACATTTGACAGCGGATTCATGAGGGAAACTTAATATTGAGAAATTCAATACGCCCAAAAGCCACTCCGTGGAGCATTAATCTCAAACAATGCAACTTATTGAAGCTAACTTTAACTTCTACTCACTTGTCAATATAATATCGCTTTGAAAATAAAGGTCTAAGCTTGAAGATCCTTTTTCATAAAACAAAAGACAGGCGTCTCGGATTTGAACTGCGCAAATGACCGTTTTTATACAAAGTGATGATATTTCTGTGGCAGGGCCACGCGACAACTGCTGTTGCATGAATGGGCAGGCGCGTCCGGGGAATTACCACGGCCTCGCAGAAGACCGGCGTGAAGTGGGAGTACTAAAATTTCGCGTCTCGTCCGTTCAACGAGGTAGCCGGGGTCTACTTTTTTAAAGTTTGTCAAGCCATCGGGTGTTGTAGATGTCTACGGGTGGCGGTATTCACCGAACATCGGGTGACCCGCCTGTTCGCTAAACAACTTTTTACATAGAAAAATTTTGCAGGCCACCAGACTACACCAAGGGAGTGTTCCAAACCCTGGGCTTTAAGGAATTCCACGAGTATCTAATGCTGCCGGAGGAGCAGAGAAATAGCGACAAAGGGAGGAAGTTGCTAGAAGACAGCATCGAAGTCATGAAAATGTCAACCAGACGATACGCCAGGAGACAAAATAAGATGGTGAAGGGTCGATTCCTAGACATTCCCACGCGAGAGGTGAATATAGTTTTTACTATGCTTAAGAGAAGTACATATACAATAGGTAACATAAAATGTGCCAAAAGGGAGAAGACATAATATGTTTAATTTAACCACTGTTAGTTTAAAAAACGTACGTTGTAATTCGAGATTCAGTCCAGTCCGGCGGATCTGTAAAGGCTCCTAAGGAGAACAGTGGCACATCATGCCAAAATAATTTCAATTATCAATTACCTATTCTATTTTCTATCTATCAAAAGCAAGCTAAAGTAAAAAATGGATGCTGTTCGTTAGCACGCCATCTATTTATTCTCTTGTAAAATATGTTTGAATAATTTCAAACTTTTATTATTTTATTTTTATTTTGAAACATGTTCGTCATTTTGACCTCAAAACATACAAGAATATTTCAGTTAATATGCCGTATAAATTAACTTTTTGTTCTTAAACTTTAATAACAAAATATATTAACATGATATTATTCCACGCCCTCTAGCTGTAAAAAGTCAGAGATATTAGCGATTGCGCCATCTTGTGGCGAATAGCGATTAGAAAAAAATAATAACTTTGTAATCTTTTCTACTTCCTACTTGCCACATTAGATGGCACTGTTTTTTAAATTACTTTTTAAAATGTTAACTTCCTTACAGGTTCCACCGATATATGAATTGGATACAACGGATCTGTCTAATTGGAATGAACATGTTAAATTCAAAGCCATAGAAATCATAGAAAGTTACATAAACGAGGTTCCATGTCCCTACGAACCATTAAAACGAAAAGTGAATGAAGAAAAACTAAATATTAATGGCCACTCGAGCAACTTTTGTGAGGTATGTGAAAGGCTCATTATAGGTGATAAGGAGTTCTCAACACATATGAATTCATATAAACATATGAGAGTATTGAAAAAGAAAAAGAAGCTTATAGAAGAAAAAAGGAAAGAAGAAGAACAACATAATAATCAAAACAATTAACAACATTAACAACAAATTTTGTCATGTATTAAACATAACATGTGTGAAAATAAAATGATATTATTCGAGCAATGTTTTATTGACTAATCTATTTACAAAGTAAGCCTATTCTAAGATTTCGGCTTTTTTAATTCTGCCATGGTTTTTTTTCTGAGCTCTATAATCATAACTGTCTATCTCTGGATATTTAGTTACAATAAAATTATAAGCCTCGCACAATCTTCTGAACTCTAGGTTTGTTATTTGGTAGGGCCGAGTAACTGGATCCATGTCTGCTATATTATACATTTTTAAAGCCATCTCCTGTCTTATTTCTTCTGGAAATAAGGTCTCTGCACCTCTTATAGAATATTTTTGCCGCATTGAAAATATCTGCCTTACAACTTTTTCAACCATCTTAAATGGCAAGTTTATAATTGGTTGCTTCAATGGTGTTAGTGTTACCACTCCTACATCTACATCCGGCTTAGGTAGGAAAGCATCACCGGATATATCAAATTTGTACTTTACATTGCACCAATTCTGACACATTACAGACAGACGACACCTTTGCTTATCTAAGATAGGGGCTGCCATTCTCTCTGCTACTTCTTTTTGAAATGTTAAGGTCATTCGTGTTCGACCAAAGGACCAAGGACCTTCTTGTTTCGAAATCATTTCCAACCAGCGTATTATTAATATGGTTGATACGCTAAAAGGCAAATTGCCTATCAAGTTTACAGCCGGCGGTGGATCAGACCATGCAACTTTTACATCTGCAGGTACGAAATGTGCCACATCTGTTTTCAGAATGTCGCCCGTAATAATGTCAATATCCACTTTGCCCTTACAGGCATCAGCAATCAATTCCAAGGTCGGTAGAAAACGGGGATCTTTCTCTATTAAGATAACTTTTCTAGGTGCTTGATGTATTATGGATCTAGTTATACCTCCTGGCCCTGGCCCCACTTCACATACTACATGGTTTTGTATGTTGCCTGCCGCTCTAACAATCTTATCAATTAACCGCGGCTCCATGAGAAAATTCTGCGATAACTGCCTAAGTGCGCGAAGCTTGTATAATCTGATGACATCTTTGATGCTTGGCAGAGGAGGAAGTCGTATTTGTAAAGCTCTCTGCGTCGCAGCCATTACTGCTGCACCTTCACCGGCTCCTCAAAATCGTCAAGGAACGTCTCTTGCTTCACTGCGTAAATGGAATATAAATAAATACCGATCACTCCCGCTCCAATCGTGCAACCTGTAATTCTATTTCTTTTGGAAATCCTTTGAAACTTTTGAACCCGTTCAAGATTTTTTTGTTCAATTACCTTCATATAATCGAGTTCAGCCTGTTTTAGTACTGGATTTTTGCCATCGGGGCTACTGATTTTAGGTTTCAGCTCCGAATCGCCCATGACGATAACAAATTCACTTTAATAACCTCAAACACTGAGAGCCGTAACTGATACCACAGATAAACATAAAATGAATTTTAATGAAAAGAAGCTTTAATGTAAATAAATAATTGTTAGATTCTTATTGACTGGGAGAAAACAGATAAAAATTAATTTTGCAGATTTTTGTGAACGAATGAGAAAATTATGAAATATGGGTTGGTTTATTGATTTATGATGCTTTTATCTACTTATTTTTATTTTATTGTGGCATGGGCACAAAGAGACTTCAAGCCATTGGAAAAAAAAGCTATAATCATTTTTATGTAAAAGTTTGTATATAGCTAATTGTAAAAACTATAATATTACTATGTAACAATACAGCTTAAGTAGCTAAGTGTCTATTGTAACAATAAAACAATTTTCTTGTTTTAAACAATATCCTAATTACAGAATGCCCGTTATAATTATTGTAATATCTAATTGTCTAATTTAATAGTAATAAATTCTTGACTACAAACAACAACACAAGGTCTTACAAATAATAGTGTGAAATTAACTTAGATCAATTAAAGTTTTAGCGTAAGGCAATCTCTACGACACAAGACAAAACTAGTGAACGTAAGTCAAATTGTTACCATCAAAACACTTGGGGAACCCAATAGAGATTGCGATCCAAGCCGAGATTTGAACCTTAATCCGAGGGGCCCTTGGATCATAATATCATGTATTATTGAGATTGTCATATAATAATATATATTATAGATTGTCATATAACACTCTATTTATAATTAAATAATTAATAGTAACAAAAAAAAACTAAAAAACAAAGAATATGGAAATCTATCAAAAGATTATAAAAGAGTAGGAATATGAAGATACCAAAAAATAGTTTATTGAATATTTCGCAATTGCAACATTTTCATTTAATGTTACTATTAAATTTGTGTAACTCGTAAACAGCTGTTCTTGACGTCGTCCAATGGATCAAACAGCAAAAGCCATGCGCGCAGTGCTCTCTTTCTAAACAAGAACTCTCTTTCACGCCTGAACATTTACATCGATGCTGCGATGATCGTCGCGTCGTCGTATCGCCGTCAATTCACATTACGCGTTGTTGTTGGTAGCTTGTCTCTGACTGTGAAGCGCACGAACTTTGTTTTGTGTTGGATTTAATATGCCTTTTATCTCAAAGGACTGGCGATCGCCAGGCGAGGAGTGGGTGAAGACCCAGGAAGGATGGGAGAAGAAAAAGGTCCTAGAATGTACCACACAAAGGTGAGGACGCGTTGCTAAACAAACTCCTTTGTTCGCAATTAGTTCGTTTCAACTAAATTGCACGAAACATTCTAACAGTTCCATAATATATAGTCTAATGCTTTACATAACTTGATTAACAGTGTTGTTTTGATTATGCAATTAGGATTTTTCATATTTTGTATTGCAGATATGCCGCTATCTCTAACTTTAATAACATAGACGAGAAGCAACAGAAATGGTAAGTGCCGTACGCTTTAAACCTTTCGTCTATCCGATCAGCTGTTTCTGTTATTGTCTTGAATCTTATTGATTTTCGCTAGTGCGTATGTAGTTTATGCATTATTTTATTATATTGAAACGCGAATGTAAGTTATAACATATTTTATACATTGAATATGTTGCATATGTAGTGAATTCAATCTGCACAGGTGCATATCTTAATGTATGTGAATGGGTTACGCAAAGACTTACTTTCACTGAATAGTTTGCGGTGTTATTTTTTTTGTGCTTCCCAATTTTTATTTATTAAATGTGAAGCTAAATGTTAGTAATTAATGTAGCAGTGACGTTTATATTTGGCAGTTTAAAGCAAAATAATATAATGCAATAGTCTCGAACGAATGCATCAATAGCTCATAATGTTTGTTTCGGTTATTCTTTTATATTTTAAGTCTATTTATCTAGTATATCTTATGTTAGTAAATGTTGATTTATGTCATGGGATGAGATGAGCATAACATAAATATCCATTTGTTATTGTCCACAAATGTTATTTGACGATATTACGAAGTCAATTTCTAAAAACTTGACACTGTTTGTTAAATTTTAAAATTACTTGCGTAATTTTTCTTTAATCTAAAAGACAAAATGTAAGCTTACGCTTACTCTAAAAATGCCACTTTAACTGTTTAAGTATGAAAAGAAGACAAGTACTTATTGAGAAACTTAAACAGTTTACGTACATTTTTCCACTATAAAATAGGATATTGCTTTTAGGAAGAATTTATGGGGCTTACTTTTGGTTACAAATTTAGCAGTCTCATTATAGAAACGCGAGCTTATTTACGCTTCAGTAACGCAGTTCAATGGACGGAAATGCGCCGACCGCTTCCAACGCGAAGATGGAAATAATAGTAACGTATTCAAAATAAATTAAAATAGAAAATGGTGAATTAAATTATGATGTGATTATATTAATTATATGAATCATAAAGTATTTCTTTTTCCAAGGGAAAATTAAATCTCAACCAAATAATATTTTGGAAAAGTGTTTACACCTTTGATATATTGCTGTAGCGATGTTATCGTTAATCAGCTTGTTAATAAGTTCGATCACATCACCAGATCTGGACTCAAATTATCCTATTTCGTTCCCATAATTTTATAAAAGTTTCAAACGTGTTTATAAAAAAAAATATATATAATGTTGAATTATATATATAATTTAAATACGAATATTATGTTAAGTACTAATAAATCATGTCATACGACGCCACCAAAGAAATTCCAAGATGTCTGCTTTTGAATTTGTCGACGGTCAGCTGTTTGTTTGATGTGCATCAATTTTCAGGCAACATGAAAAAACCACATGTAGGTATCCCGAATAGTGACCTATAAAAGGCAGGGCAAACTATTAAAAATGTACAGAGTCAATATTTACACGGCGGAGCAAAAGTTGGAGTAAACAGTAATTTATTTCGTAAATCTGGGTCAGGTCGTCCGCCATTATGAAATAGGAAGAACGGTTGTAGCAAATAAATATTTATACGCGGTCAGATTATCGTCTCGTCTCGTCTATATAATAATTGTATATGTTTTCTGATTAATTTGTATTTTGATTAAAATAATAATAACGCGAATATTAATGAAATAATTCAAAAATACTCTTAATTCGACATCAAAAATATCATTTTAAGTCTAATTCAGTGATTCGAAATATATTATGTTATTCCAAATGTTCCCATTTTATACACTTTTTAATTGGCAATAAATAAATCAGTGCCTCTACTCCACGGCATATAGGTATTTTAGTCAAAAAATGTCTGCCTCCGTTCAGGGAAGGAAACGGTTGACAAACGTTTACAAGCGCGCCGCATTTAAAAAAAAGAGTTCCAAGTTATTTCTGGGCGCATTATGCTGCCGCTGAAATGTTTTCTCGTAATTCCATTTACTAAAGCGTTATCACGGTATTTCCTGACCTAACTTTTAAACTTTCCTCAGTTATCATGAGACTTGATCTAGTCAAAGATTTTAGTAACAACAAAGAAGGTGCTGCAGCATTTTTATGAAATTTGATAAGTTTATTTAATTTTATGACCGATGTATATATCTTTAGTTCGTATGTCCATAGTAAAATAAGTAACAGCATATTTATTTCCCACTGCTGGGCAAAGGCCTCCTCTGTACAAAGGGTACTTAAGGGTAAAGGGTACGTTAGTCTACCACGCGACCCCACTGGATTGGCAGATTAGACATGTTTTGGAAACATGTCTTTTTCTTATTATATCAAAAAATTGCAGGTTTCCTCACGATGTTTTCCTTAACAGCTGACCACGTGATAAGTCATCACATAAAATTAAGAATTACATTGATGCCGGCACCGGAATATGAACTCGGGTTGCTCGAAAATATTGAATTAAAAGCGAGCGTTCGGACACCGGGCCATCACGGCTCTCGGTATTTGTTAAAATAATCTAATTACTGAAATATCTAAAACTAATTGGAATGACTATGGGAAAATAATAGATAAATAGAAAAATAAATAGAGGGAGTAAAATAATTTTAATTTCCTAAACGAAATCAAAGACGGAACAAAATACACGTTTTCCAATCTTACTTCCAACTTACTTCTGAATAATTCTGGTCGTTACCCAAATAAAGTGTTAATGCAAGATGAACGAATAACTACCGATGCGCCCACTTCAGTTTTGCGAACAGTTTTATGCCCACTGCTTTGAGCATGTTAACCGATCTGCTAATTTTGGCGCAGCTAAGGCCAACGAACCATAAACTAAGGCGCACGGACCACAGAACCGAAAAGGATTACAAAGAACAGGTTATTTAAAAGTAAAACTGAAAAAAAAAATTCTCTTAATTTCGCTAGTATCGCTTTTCGGTTTTCATTTTTAGCGTAACGTTCTTAACAACATAGCCACGTCTAACTTTTATTCTTTAACGGAAAAAAACCCTCCACACGTTAACAGATAATTTACTTTTAAAATAAGTCAGTCATATTAAGTTTAATTGTTAGAAACCGTTGTTCAAATATTGAATAACGGATTTCTGAAATGTCTCAAAATGTAGAAGTTATCGGGGCAACTATTGTCGTATGAGTTGATCAGATATCGCTTCTCAAAAATGTGTATATGCAAAGGAAACACGTGCTTTCTCAGGAATGTAAATAAAGTCAGGAAAGTTATATTAGTTATGTCTGTTATTATTAAAAAGTCAACACTGAATTAAAGCAAACCCTCCATGCACTAAGTAATAGCTTTATTTTTTTAGTCTTCAACCAAATCTCTAGAACGAGATGACCACCTGGGTTGTTTGGTTTGTATTTTAGATCGTTAATTAATTCTTTTAAAAATTGATAAAAACGATTCGCGTTTAGTACATTGAAGTGAGCGTACTGTTCTTTCGAAACGGTTACTAGATCAGTAGGTATTGAAAAAAATTGCGAAAGTATCATTTAATTTTCTCTTTGATGATTCACGTAATGTTCAGTGATAACCGCCGCCCATGAACATTTGCAAAACCCGTAGGGTTGTTATTCGTTGCCACTGTTTAAAGTGAACCCAGGGTTATTTCTTTACCTCATCTAAAAATAAAATCGAATCGATTATCGGAACTACTTCGTGATTACCGATTCTTGCTCCGCCTTGGAGTAGCTTATCTTAATCTTAAGAGAAATGCTGCTCCATGCACCGATCAGGGACTTCCTCTTCCTCCTTAGAACCCATTAATTTAGTATCACCAGGAGAAACTGGTCGGGAAAATGATGCGATTATCATCCGACATACGGTGAGCACTTTCTAATTTGTCGTAGCCGGCAATCTTCATGATTGCTGGAGAAACTTAGCAGCAGCTTTTGCTTCGTGCATTGGCTTAGAAACCAATTGTTTTCTTTTAATGTGAAATGTTGCCAAGCGAGCAGGCGGTTCACCCGATGTTAAGTGAATACCACCGCCCATGGACATCTGCTACACGAGAGGGTTGCAGATGCGTTGACAACTAACTCACCAGACGAAACGCGAAAGTATTATACTTTCACTTCACGCCGGTCTTCTGTGAGGTCGTGGTGCTTACCCGGACGAACCCGCCCATTCGTGCAACAGCCGAGGCTGCTGCGTGGCCCTACCACAGATGGTTACGGATAACTTAATTGCGATTAAGGTTCGAAACGTAGAATTTACACTTCTACCTGTCGTCTGTTGAGGCGGCACGTGAGTGTTATTGGTGTCCATGGGCGATGGTAAACAGTTAAAATTTGGTGAACCCTCTGCTAGATTGCTATCTACTCCAAAAGGTCCGTTTTGCCCGATTGGTTGGGTAACCGATGTAGTAAGTGGCTGTTTCTACTTTCCTATTATTATTCCCTTTCTATTATTTTTTTCTATTATTATCTTGTTTTTTATATATGTATTTATAATCTATTTTTATTATCTATTTATTTTTCTATTATTTCTAATATTATTGCTTTTGCCCCCGTTCCTCTGATCGTAAGCATTTTTGTTTTCTCAATATAATTGCTACCTGTCTTTCTTACATCTTTCATACATCTTAAACGTGTAAGTTCGTATAGTAGGGTTCTTGTTAAATTGATTAATTGCTTCTAATTTTATTCACATTCGAAAATCAAAAATGAAATCTTTCAAAATTCACGTTTAAATTTAGTTCATCAAAGATTACGTTTAATGTTCCTCAGAAATAAAAAAAAAATCATTCGCATTTCAAATCGACATTGACTGCGAAAAACCGCCCTTTCGAAATTGCCGCCTAATCACGATTTCCGGGCCGTTACGTCCGTGACCTAAATATATGTAGGCTAGCTTCTTTTATACGGCACGGCTGCGTTTTTAGTTCGAAAACTGCTACACGTTATGCTCGCCTGGTAGTTATTTAGCGGAGCGGTCAAAGATTCGCTAACTTTAACGCAAACTTTATGCTACAGGTTTGAATCTCGACCTAATTGATGAACATAAATAGGATTTTAATTATAATGTAAGTAATAATTGTATTAAGATCTTTATATTATTAAGAAAACTGTTATTTAAAAGCCTTCTTTTAGTTTATTTACAGCCTTAAGATACAATTTGCGAATGAGGCGAATGTTCTGAGCAGTTTTTTATTCCCGTCATGGGAAAACGTAAACCGCCACCAACAACTGCCGAAAGCATAACACATATTTTGTTAGACATGGAACTTTTTTGCATGAATCTGAAAATACACCTGTGCCAAGACTGAAACGTCGGCTTCAAAATCGCATGCACAGACTTCACAACTAAACCATCGCGTAATGTAAGTAACGGTAAAGAATTTAGGGTTTGTGTACCATAACATGGCTGAATTTGGGTCAAAGTTTATTGTTGATTGAAATATCTGGATGTTATCGGCATTTGTTTACTTTTGCTTTTTGGCAATTGCTATAACACTAAATATTAATTAAGAGGCCGGTTACTACAGTTTCGTAGCTTAGAGTTTCGAGTTCGATCACGGGCAGGCATATTTAACACTTTAATAAAAACGAACCCGGCACGAAGGGTTTTCCATACCAACAGACATACAACAGACATGATATTTTTGCCGTTTTATAGATGATAAAAAAAAAAAAAAAAAAAAAAAAACCATCATCTCTAAAATGGCAAAAATATCATGTCTGTTGTAAGGGGGGCCCTTAAATCTTTTTTTATTCTGTTTTTTAGTTTTTGTTCTTATAGCGACAATAGAAATACATTATCTGTGAAAATTTCATCAGTCTAACTTGATAATTAGACTGATTACTCTGTCACCAGGCTGTATCTTATGGACCGATCACGGTTCACAGAC